GCGTTGATTTTTTACTATACTGCAATTCCAAATTGTCTGCAGAAGCGTTATTATAAACCGACCCTCATCTGATTTAGTAGTTTCGCACATAAAAAAGTATATATAATAAAGAGAAAATTCAATTACTTTTCTATAAATACGGGATTCATTTTCATATTTCACTCGTGAATACAGCCACTTGTGAAATATCATTTTCATACCATTCGATGAAATAAATCCTTTATTTACAGAAAAAAAAACTTGATTATCCCATATTTATTATATACTTATAAATGAAATACTGAGAAATATTGATGAAATAAAATGCGTATTTTTATCTTTCCGTATTTTCACTGTAAAAAGTTGGGGTTTTTTTCACTGCAGTGAAACATATTTTCCGTATTTTCACTGGTGTCTTGTCGGACTTCTCAACACATCAAGTTCGGATTATGATATATATTATCACATTTTCCAATCTCTTGCAATAGATCTTAACATATAGTAATAAACTAGAAATACGAAGTGAACGTTGAACGTTCTACATAATTATGCCTTTCGTTTAAAGTGAATATTTGACAAGTTTTTCTTATGCCAGGGCAAAAAGTTTATAATCAATCAAAAACTTTTTATATAAACACCGATACATATACTGTCATTGTCGGGTATAAAACATAATTGTCATTGTGAGATTTTATGTCATTACAAAAAATCCGGCGTTTATGTGACTAACATGAAAATGAAAGTGCCTTTTTGAATGTTTTCTTTTTTCAGGCTTTAGAACAGTAGCAGAATTTGTGGGAGAAATTGATTATTTTTAATTATGCAGGATAGAAATCTTATAAAGAACCAGGGCTGTATATTATATATAAACTTTCCTAAAAAAACGAAAAACCATGCGGCAATGACTTTTTCAATATTAAGATTTACAATAGACGGCATAATGCCGTGATATAATAAATCAAGAAAAAGTAAGAGCTCGTGAAAATCGTGCATTCGCACAATAACCAAATATAATTTCAAACAAAAATAATAAGGACATATGTTATATATCAATCATTAAAAAACAACAACGTGATTGTCCAAGACATTTGTTAATTTGCAGATAAATCAGCATTTTAATGTAATATTTTACACGCCTTTTAACCAAAACAAGTGTAACGACCTATTGCTATTAAAAATAATACTGTATTATTATGTTGTATGTACATATTATGTATGTACTATTGATTATGTTTAAAGATGTATTTTGATGGAATTAGTTTAAGTGCATTTAATTTTACTACTTTCACCCACTTGTATATAAGACAAGTAAATGCACCCCCGTATATTTTGAGTACCTGCATATTTTTATCAATATGATACTGAATATGATTCTGTTGTTACTGTTGAAATGTTTTCTATGTCATTGTTTTTACATTATCACTTTAATAACTCCTGTGCATTGTATTCACATTCATATTTGTGTAAATATATTTTTCTTGTCAGTGAATTTATTATTTCAGGGACAGATATTTCACTTATTATATGCTTTCTTGTTTAAAATATCATAGATATCAATAGACTTACCTTGGATGCTTGAATTTCCATCACTGTAATTCTTCTATGATGTTATTGATGAAATAATAATAATTTTTCACTTACGTCCGTGTTTTGTAGCCATTTTGGCGCATCATCTACTTAGAATTGTGACGTCATCGGTGACGTAATCTTTTCGCGAGACATTGATTTTTATCTGGTGAAGGGTTGGCACCCAGAACAGTACTTTAAAATCATTGAAAGTCAATCTAACCTAATAATTGCCAAGATGTCCCAACCAGAGGTAATAAAGAAGTCGAAGTACCTAAATATTGTGTTTAGTTGTGTTAAGACCATCCCCATTCCCCAGTGTTACGGAATGGATTGTGTACCTAAAGTTTTAAGTTTAACTCGGTAGTGTTTAAAGCGTCCTGGTGCCAATTTAACGTGTTCTATAAAAATTAAAAACTCCTACGTAGGAGATAAAAAAAGCCTTATTAGGAGTTTATAACTCCTACGTAGGACTTTTAAACGCCTACGTAGGACTTTTTAACTCCTATGTAGGACTTTTAAACTCCTACACGTAGGACTTTGTAACTCCTACGTAGGAGATAAAAAAGCCTAATATGGAGTTTATAACTCCTACATAGGACTTTTAAACACCTACGTAGGAGATTTTAATTCCTACGTAGGACTTTTAAACTCCTACGTAGGACTTTTAAACTCCTACGTAGGACATTGTAACTCCTACAGGTCAAGATAAAAAAAGCCTAATTAGGAGTTTATATCTCCTACGTGTAGGTCTTTATAACTCCTCCGTAGAGGAATACTTATAAAGTCCTACGTAGCCGGGTGTACATTTTGATTAAATGAGAGTAAATTTCATTTCATTAATTATCTTTGTTTATATTTTTATTGTATTTATATATTTATTTTAATTTATTGATTCCATTTTTTTTGGCAAGCGGGAATTGTCGTTACCACTGCCTACCCCATTGGAGCCTCTGTGAAAAAAAACTAAATTGATTTATACAAGGTGCGAAAAAGCTCAACCGCTATATAGCAGTCGAGTTTTTTTCCTATATGAATCAATGAAAAAACTGTACTGCTATATAGATCTATCAATACTGTTTTCAAATGCTTATTGTTCAAAGTGTACTGTATACCGAGTATATAATGGGTTAGTAAGAACAAAGGAAAAGTTCCAAACCATGCGATAACTAATTTAATCGTAACTGAAATCGAAACAGAAATAATAAATAAATATCGCATCTTGATTCAAGACTTGTTCACATGCTGACAAAAATGAGAATAGCAATTGAAAAAAGTCCATTAAAATGGGCTGGGCTTATTTTTTATATAATTTTTTATGTTACTGACTGATGTCAAAAATAATTATAAATGTGGCGAGAGTTATCGGCCAATTACCATAGCAGTTGCAACGTAGCTGGTGAAAGGTCGTTAAGGCTGCCGTCTATTCTTTTCTAGGAAAATGAATAATTAAATGTACAAATAATGACATAAGTAAAACATTCTCTTTGATCTTTATGTGACCATGACCTTTCCGCTAGCGTACTTCGCTAGTCATCATCGGATGATTTTTGCTTTTTTTCTTTCACTTTGGGTGCTTGTGTGTGCGTATGTTTAAATGGGCATGATAAAATATAATTATTTTGGTTAAAAATGTACATGCCTGAAACTTTCTTCTACATTTGTAACACTACCTTGCATCAAATCATTATTCTAATCAACTTGTTTAATCTAGACAGAAAATTGTCATTCTTGATAACAACGTACGTAGTTTCCTTTTCGCAAAGATCTGAGAAAATACTAAAAACTGATTTTTAAATGATGTACATAACTTCAAAGGCTTTTCAGCGTTGGTTATACGTACCCTTAAGGTCGACCTGAGGCCAGTTTTAGCCTCTCACAAGTCCAATATTTTCTTGGTGATGAAGGAGCTCTGCTGACCCCCTTCAAACTCCCAAGCAGAAGGGGGCACATCCCCTGATGTATCTATTTGATAGGGGATGATCGCCGAAAAAGTGATCATTTTTATAACCATTTCTCAAACGGAAAACAGTGTTTGGGGTCTGCATTTGCATTTTTTCAGTATTTGAGGCCTCAAAAGTGTGTGTGGGGAAGGGGGAAGCCATCAAAACACGTCCATAAGTAATGGGTTAATGTATCATTAACGTTATTGTATATTTTTATCAAGTAAACATTTTTTATGCTCCCCGAAAAATTTCGGGGAAGCATATAGTCGTCGGGTCGTCCGTCCGTCCGTCAGTTCGTCCGTCCGTACGTCCCGAATTCGTGTCCGGTCCATAACTTTGTTATCTGGAGTCGGATTTTAAAATTATTTCACAGAAATAATCACCATATTGAAACGACGTGTGGCGCGCAACATTTGGGTCGCTACCTTGAAGGTCAAGGTCACAGCATGACCTTGCAGCAAAATCGTGTCCGGTCCATAACTTCAATATTTGAAGTCGGATTTTAAAACTATTTCACAGAAATGATCACCATATTGAGACGACGTGTCGCGCGCAACATTTGGGTCGCTACCTTGAAGGTCAAGGTCACAGCATGACCTTGCAGCAAAATCGTTTCCGGTCCATAACTTCATTATTTGAAGTCGGATTTTAAAACTATTTCACAGAAATGATCACCATATTAAGACGAAGTGTCATGCACAACATTTGGGTCGCTTACCTTGAATGTCAAGGTCACAGCATGACCTTGCAGCAAAATCGTGTCCGGCCCATAACTTCAATATTTGAAGTCGGATTTTAAAACTATTTCACAGAAATGATCACCATATTGAGACGACGTGTCGCGCGCAAAATTTGGGTCGCTACCTTGAAGGTCACCTTGCAGCAAAATCGTGTCCGGTCCATAACTTCGTTATTTGAAGTCGGATTTTACAACTATTTTACAGAAATGATCACCATATTGAGACAAATTGTCGGGCGTAACATTTGGGTCGCTACCTTGAAGGTCAAGGTCACGGCATGACCTTGCAGCAAAATCGTGTCCGGTCCATAACTTCATTATTTGAAGTCGTATTTTAAAACTATTTCACAGAAATGATCATTATATTGAGATGATGTTTCGCGTGCAATATTTCTGGGGCTACCTTGAAGGTCAAGGTCACAGCATGACCTTGCAGCAAAATCGTGTCCGGGCCATAACTTTGTTATTTGAAGTCGGATTTTACAACTATTTCACAGAAATGATCACCATATTGAGACAATGTGTCGCGCGCAACATTTGGGTTGTTTTTACACTTTGAACTTTGTCTGTGACATAACTCTGACACTACAAGAGGTATACCTTCCTGTGTCCAAAACCTATTCGGGGAGCATCACCCGGTTCAACCGGCTCTTGTTTAAAAAAGAAATAAAACATCAAATAAAACAAAACGAAACTTTTTTTAAAAAAGTTTCAATTTTACTATAGGTAAACAATATTTAAATTATATGATTTAAACACAAAATGCATTTTTTAACAATTTCCAAATGGAACATTTCATTTTCTATGATTTTTAATTCCAAAACAAGCAAGAAAAGTGCGATAGAAATTGGTGAAAAATCCTTTCTTTGCTTTCCTCTTGGCAGTCAACTCATTTCTTAAATCATCTTGTACTAATTTCTCACTGATTTGCCGAGTGCTGGAAGCTTGTGACTTTGAGCAGACATCTGTAAATTTGCTTTTGGCTAAGATGCCGTGTTTAGTAGGTTTCATAGTTTGGCTGTCGGTCGTCTGCTGTTTGGTGGGTTGACACTTGATGTCGTCTGCTTCTCGATAGTCCCTGTTTAATGTAAAAACATAATAATAAAACAATGGTAACACAATGTAAGCGCATGTATAACTTCCATCGTAAATAATGACATGCTTAATATTAAACACTCTTTCTTTTACAGGATTTATTTTTTCTAAATAGTTCTGTCTTTAACACAACAATATAAAAAAACAAGATAAAAAATAGTTTTTGTTAATCAATTATTAATGGCACAAAACAGATAAAGAGACCAAAATGTATCTTTGCAAAAAACTTGATACTTGATACCTTTTTAAATTTGTATGCAAAAACTTTATACCTTTTTAAAGTTGGTTCCTGCAGAGGAGAAATATTTTCTGGCACGCCTGTATTCTGCTGTTGAGATGACACTTTTGTATTCTGCTGTTGAGAAACTGGTTCTTTGGGAGATTCTTTTAAACTGTTTGTATGTTGCATGCGGTCATAGTTATCTTCGAGGTACATCTTTAACTCTGGAAAAAAAAGAATTTCAAGGGCCCTTTAAACTTATTTTAAACTTTTAAAGCATAATGCAACATAGTTTTTACGTATCCGCAAGTGATTATACTAAATGTATTATTCACGTCTTACCCCTTTTATCAGTTCATTGTGCAAAACAGTTCTCAAGTTTAAAATTATTCTAGTACCCCAAAGCATTAGCAGTCGCCGGTTTTTTGTTGTTGTTTTTTTTATTAGCATAAAAATAGTTATTAGATATATGGTTTTAGATATGTGGTTTTAGCTTATTTATGATGGTAATTTTACCATATTCAGACTGGTTTCTTCTTTCAGCTCTAGAACTCTTATGTCCCTTTGCGCACAAATGTTTTTGTGGCATTGACCTCCTCTGACCTTGTGGTGGTAAAGCGCTCTTACTACGCCTTTTCTTTTGTGTGGTCTTATCATCAGCTGAAAATTTAATGAAAAAGAAATGTAATTAAACAATTTGTGATGGTGCAGTGTTCCAAACGGAACACCTCTGTGATTAAATGAAGTTTGACAAAAACGGCCAGAAAATTGCGATTGACTATGTTCTCTCCACATAACATTTTAATCGGAAAGTAACTAAAGACATAATTACTACTTTAGCCAACATGTTTTTGTTACAACTAACATTCCGTAATCTGTATTGGTATAAGATCGTCGTGTAAACGGTTTCATGACAGGAAAGGGGTTTATTTACAGATTTATATTACAGATATCATTGTCCATGATTAATTCATGATTCAAATGGATTAAAATATCCTGTTACTGTTATAAGATTATAATATAAAACTTATGAGAATATAATAAAATAAGTAATCAGAATTCTTTTAAATCTTACCTTTTCTGCGATTTGACAATTTTCTTTGCGAGTCTAGCCGTCTATGTGCGCCACATATCGACTTTGTCCTTTTTGATGAACGAACTTTGTCCATTCTTGAGTGAGCTTTGTAGTCGTTTCTTGTTAATCTATTCATAATTCACTGTAAAGAAAAGATTATCATACATTAGAATGCTCACACAAAAAAAAAACAATTTAATTTATTCAAGATTTTCGATCATCTTTGTTATTTAAATGAGTTAAAAAATCAAATCAATTTTCACAAATTGAGAGTGGCAGGATACTTTGTTGTTACCACGTCTCTTTCTAAATCTATAAAGAGATATAGTGGTATCCAAGTCATAATGAAGTCATAACAATTTTGCGAGGAAGCGGACTTGAAAATGGATGGAATTGGTGTGTTTAAGCTTTTATCACAAACGAGCTAGAGTAAATGAATAAATAAAATGATCATTTAAACTCATTAAGTTTTGTAACATTTTCAATCACTTTACTGACCATAACTTTCGCTAAAACGTATTTATAAAGAAATTATAAATGATAATGAAAAAACGCATCTACATACCGTTACGTGTTGATATCTTATGCTGCAGAACGTCGTTTCTATGACAAGTTACGTCAGAAAATTAGATTATGATTACGTCATTATGTACAACGTTACTGACGTGATGAAAGTATAACATAATTGGTCTAACATGTATCTTTTAATTTTAATCTCTGTTCAGTTTTCTTTATTGTTGATTTTTGTTTAACACTATAGGGCTATAATATGCTAGAGTTACCGATAAACATGGCGAAATCTGAATCATGAGACTGCATGGATCATTCATTTTTAACGAAGCTTATAACAGAAGTGTAGGCCTTCGTATTTTTTCCAAAAGGCCATAATTCCACAAAATTGTTTGAATTGCAAAACACTGACAATATATACGCGCCCGGAGTATTTTATAGTAATTAATGAGGACAATATTATTATCTGTTACACATGCCATGTGGCCATTTAACTAATATTCAAATTTAGAAGTCCGAAGGTCCTTTCCCATGAACCATTTGTGCTTTAAATATGTTTTCTTTGTTGTTGTTGTTTTTTCTTTCTTTTTTTTCTTTATTTCGGCGTACAACTTTAAGACACCAACTTTGATCATTTACAAGCCTCGAGACGTCGCATGGCATGGGCGTTTTTTTGTGTGTTTTTTTCAAACCATTTGTCTGATTTCGTTTCGGTTTTGCCACCGCATTAGTTTGTAGGTTCTTCTTTACAGCAATAGAAGGCACTAAGCTCTTGCCTAAGAAATATGGCCACTAGAGGTCCGCATGACATGGTCTTTTTATGGATCGGTGATTTGATCCTTCTGTATATAAAAAAATATAAAAGGGTTTGTTTGAATGTTAAGCATCGTTTGATGGTAAGATTTTATGAAAACTCTGTATTTGGAGTCCGTTAATTAGCGACATTTGTTCTGTCTTACATTGAGTATACGATGAAATGAACATTACGTACTGAGGTTGTGATCCAGTAGATTATATTTCTTTGGTCTCCGTTTCGAAGGTCTTCTTTATGTAAATGGAGGCCATTAGATTCGAGAGATCTACATGGCATTGATGTTGTTTGAATAGGCTTTTTTCGTTTGTTTTTTCTGTATATAAAATGTATGAATTTTCATTAAAAGCACAATTTACTTGAGTCAAACGCTAAAAAAGCATTTGTCTGATTCCGTTGCGGGTTAGCCATTGTTACAGTTTGGAGGTACTTCTTTACAAAACTCGTACGTGAAAGAAATGGCCACAAGAGGCTCGCATGTCATTTCGTTTTAAGGCTCGGCGATTTGTTCTTTTTCTATACTCTTAGGTGGACTCAAAATCCTTAAGCATTTTCACAGAGACTCAACCTTTCTGAAATTGTGAATATATATTATTTCAAGTGGGCACGAACAGTAGTCTTTAAACTTTTTGACAACGTGATTACGTGGATTATGACACAAATTTTATGCGCGCTTAAGAGCTCTTGTTAAAAGAATTTACGTACGTCATGCACAGAATGGTATGATTAAAAATGTTCGTTGATTACTTAAAAAATGAATATTACATTACTTTGGAGTATCTGTTTTACAGCAATATGATGCTCAAAGCTCTTACGCAAAGAAATATGACCTTGAGAGGCTTGCGTGGTGTGGTCGCTTTGGACTGGATATTTGTTCTTACAGTATATATTTTCATTTAAAAACGCCGTTTTTTTTTTAGAGCTAATAACATGTTAACGTACAATATGGTGTGATTCCGTTGCAGATAACAATTACATTAGTGAAGACGTTCTTCTTTACAGCAATATAAGACACAGTTGTACATAGCGCAAGAAAAAATTCTCAAGAGGCCCGCATATGGTATTGTCGTTGTTTTTTTTTTATCTGTGATTTGTTCTTTCTGTATCTAAAGTTTGATTTTCGTTACAAAGTTTATTTTCTTGTGCTAACCAATAAACACCATTTTGGATTAGCCTTTGTTTCAATTTGGATGTTCTTCTTTACAGCAACAGCTACATGTAGTATATATAGGCACAAAGTAACCAGAGGGAAATTGCAACAAGAGGCCCGCATGACATGGTCATTTTAAGGATCGGCGATTTGTTCTTTCTATATACTTTGAGATGCTTTGAAATTTCGCAAGCATTTTCGCAGAGACTCAACACTTCTGAAACCGTCGTTATTTCAAGTGGGCACGAAGAAGTGATTTTTCAACTTTAAGTTTTTCAAACGTGATAAAGTGGTGGGTCATATAAACGTGCGTTAAAGCAAGAATTTGCGTTATGCATAGTGAGGTATTGTAAAATGAACGTTACTTCTTTAAAATAAAAAGGGGGAGTAGTGATCCAGTATTATAGATTATACATGTATTAACTTGGACGTTATCCTTTACAGCAGCTCTGGATAACGCAAAAAAATGACAGTGATTTATTAATTTTATTACATCTAATATACTGTAATGAGAATTCGAAATAAATCGAGTTTTGATAGATTTTTATTATTCAATAGGGTTCAATTTTTTCTAACAATGAATCTATTTAAAATATTGAAGGGGACGTAACAAATAAATTTTATCACTTCATTTGATCATACTACTCGATTTATTTCAGAATTCCAAATATGTTAATAAATAAATCAAGCGGTACTTCAATCACGTGATCCAATATGGATGTCTGTGAATGTTGCAAATATAAATCTTAGTCTTTTTGAATATCGGAGAAATGCCTGGACCCCTTGAGCGATGGCTCGAAACGTTTATGTGTGGACAATTTGCTGATAATTTTGAGAGATACGGCTATCGAACACTCCAAACAGTAAGAAAATATGCCGTTTTGAATCATAATGGTATCATTTGGATGGATTTGTTTTTATCGTCTAAAAATAAATAACATTTTTTGGGGAAATGAGACTTGTTGGCACTGTTCAATCAGACATCTATTTCTAATGTAATAGACTACAGAAATGAAATAAAAAGTTAACAACGGGTGACATAGTACTTATATCGTTGTTTAAAATACCGTTTACTATAAATATTTGACTCATTCATGTAAATGTCACAGGGTGAGAAAAATGTGCAGCCTGACCACAGGAACTTGAAATTCTATCAATATTAATGGTAATATCCAAAATATACCCCCTATACAGTATATAAATAAACACAAGGAATGAAACGCCTTTTCCCCACCCCAACATAATTTACGCCGAATAAATTGACAAAACAACGGAGCAAAATAATCTATCGGGCCATTTCGATAAACAATACTTTTTTAATGCATCAAATACCACCGATAACTTTTTTTAATCGCGTAGCTTTGTAGGAATAATTCCAACATTTTCTGATTATTTCCCACGATCTGAGTTTGTCGCCGACTCCATTTCGTGACGTCACTGGATGTTGATTCGAGGAGAATAATATTTATTAAAATTATTTGGTTTGGGAGAATAATATACTATTTTTAATTGGGACCCAATCATGCACGGCTATAAAATAAGCCAAAAAAATCCCTGATATATATTTCCTATGGCATAATGGGATGTTGTATTAATTTTTTCAGGTATGTCAAATGCAGTTACCACAGTTATTGTCCATTGGAATACCACAGAAAGAGAGTGAAATCATTCTTCAAAATGTGCAGATTTTGAGACAGTCCACTGCTGCAGGTAAATTTTCACTTCAGTCAAGGTGTCAGAAGTGTTTTTAATGCAGTGTACTCTAGCAGATTTTTCTTCTTATTTTCTTATAAATATACAGGTGGTAGACCGTACTGAAATTCAGAATGACAGACCCATTCACAATCACGAACAGTCCTCCACAATATTCAGAATTGGTCTGAGGGTACTGTTTACAATTCTGCTTAAACAAGATTAATTAAGCTTTGCTTATAATAAAATTTTTCCTCTGATATTTTTATATAATGTTCAGTGATAATTTAATAAAAATCTCAGTTTGCTATTGTGTTGTTGTTTAAATGTTAAAACATTTAATGTTACTGCTAATATTCAAACCTATATATAGAAACAAACTGATGTATAGTCTTGAGCTTCTGTTTAATACATGTAGCTTTAAGTTAGAATGAAACGTCCTTCTGAATATTTTTTAAGCTGGTTTGATTTTATATGGTATGTTTTTCAGTTGCCCAGCAACAAATTCAACATGGAATTAGCAGTAGCTATAATAACACATTGTCACATGATCCAACCAGTGCAACGTCTTTCCAGAACAGGGATGTTTTGCAAGAACATACGGTATACAATTTTGATACATGTACATATGACTTTCTTCATCTTAACTAAAGGTTTCTTAATTAAAAGTTTAACATGTAAATTGCAGTACTCCTCTAATTTGTTAGCTACAAAATTTTATTTACTACACCATACAGTATCAAGAATTGTTTAATTTTCTTATGCTTAAATGTCAAGCATGGATCTGCCAGCTTTTATTTTCTGAATCCAAGATTGAGGGTGAGCTTTCAGGAAAGATAACTTATTATAATTGTGGTAAACAGTTTACTTAAGTATCCCTGAAACCACTGGCCAGAATATCATCAGTTTGGTTTCATGCATACTTGCTTATCCTAGGATCATTTTTAAACAATATGGATTTTCCCTCTTTAGGTGCCACAAAAGTTTTAAAAATTCTTTGAGCATTACGAAAATACTTCGACGATTTTGAAACACTTCTTTTCTTACTTGCAGACTTACATGGGTTCTGATAGTAGCTGTTTTAACTATGGCAACCAGAGTTCAGGCTTAAGTGGTCAGTTTTACAATCAAGGTGTGGCTCAGTCTATTGATTCAATGATGAGCTCTGCTTACAGGCAACAATATCAGGGATCGTCATTTCCCCAACAGATTTCAGATGGAAATCAGTTCTCAAATATGGGAATTCCTTCTCCATCATCCAGTTCAGCTTCTGGAGCATCACATCGTGCTTTTCAAGGACAGGTTCCTGGTTCCCCTTTGATGGGCCAGACTAACATGCATCATTCACATCCTCATTTGAGAAATTCTGGTCAAAATCCGCAAGAGGTGGCTAATAATATTTTACATATGGCAGCATCATCGTATCCCACAAATAATACTGTACAAGTGCCACTATCGAAAAATAGATCTGCACCATATCATATGCCATCAAGATCACCAAATTACAATTCCAAAATTCAAGATAATCAACAGCTCATGTGTTCAGATTACAACCAAGGACAGTTTGCATACCCTAGCCCACCTCATCAGTCACAGCTGCACATGCAGTCCAGGGATTCTAGACTGTCACCAATAAGTCCTGCCTCTGCCAGTATGATGTCTAGTCCACACTCCCACCATAGTGGACGTAATGTACCAAGCTCCAGTCCATGTTCGATGCATAGTCCAAACAAAGGAGTAGTGAGATCTCCAGGCCCAAATCCCCAACTTATAAATTCACCACAACGGGGTCAGTACCAAATGATGTCGCCAATGAATACCTCAAATCAAAGACTGATTTCTTCAATTCCTGCCAATCAGCAACTCAAAGTCTCTGTTCCGTCTTCCTTGCCACAAACTTTCCAGCAGTGTTACTATGGGAATATGATGAATACTTCGCAGTATCCAAACTTCCAGCAACCAATGTCTGTACAATTTTCACCTAGTTCAATCTCACAACCCTCTACAAGTGGACAGTTAAGTAATTCCCCTGGTAATTTTCCAGCACATTCCCCAGGTGGTCATAGTGGGCATTTTAGTAACATATCATCTCCCTACACTCCTGGATCAGGTAATTACCTTAGTCCAGGTCAACCTCATAATTCTCCATCTGTGTCTCAACATATGACTGATAGAAGTTTAGCAAGTTCACCAAACTTAAAACAATGTAATAGCCCTCTGCAATCTCTTCAGAAACTGTGTATGCTACCAGAGGTTCAAGTTGTTGATCCTAAAACTGTAGTTAAAGAAGCTTGTGTTCATTCTCAAGGAGAATCATTAGAAGAAAAACTTTTAGAAAACAATTCACCATTGCCTGTGTCTTCAAGTGCACCATTGGATACCAATTTCTCATCAACCTTTAACGAATTAGCTCCTTGTAATTTTGAGTCTGAATTGACACAAAGTAATTCAGATAGAGCAGCTGTGAGCCCTAATGTGAAATTTCAGCCAAAAGAAGTTATGTTACTAAAAGAAGCAAAAAATGATTTAAGTTCACCTCAAAGTCAAGATACTGTTCAATATTTTAATGTTAGATCGGAGATTGATGATACAAAACAGTATACTTTGGAATCCGTTGAAAGTATAGAAGACAAATCAAAGGAAAATAAAAATTTAGATGATTCTCCAAAGTCGGATAAAACAAATTCAGAAAATATTGATAGTGAGAAGAACTTATTAAAGGGTGACACAGACAATAAGGTTGTTCATGGTTCTTCAGAGGATCAAACTTGTGCTGAAAACTTTGTTGGTGGATCTACAAATGATCATGTAGAATCTAACTTGGAAAATAAGACTTCAGATAATTTGAAAACAGATTCTGTAAACAATGAAGGAAGTTTTGAAGGTAAACAAGATTCTAGTCAGAGTAAGCAAACTTGTGATACTGGCTCTGAAAAAGGTGCTGACACCACTGAAAATGTGCAATTTAATTCAGCAGACATTGATCAAGGAGCTAAAGTGCAATCAAAAGATGTTGAAATGGCATTTGATTCTGAAAGTTCTTTGAGTGGAAATGATACTCAGCTGCTTGTGTGTAAAGATGTGAAGAAAACCTACAGTAAGCAAGAGATATTAAAGAGTTTTGAGATAAGCCCAAGATTAAGAGGTGATAGTACTGGTTCATTAAGCGATGAACGTGCAAACAGTGATTATGAATATGAAGACCATATAGGGTGTGATGACATAGAAACCGGTTTTAGTGATATTGATAGTAAGTCAAATGAGATGGTTGAAGAGTCGGTTGATGATGCAAAGGATTTGGAAAATGATATTACAAATGGAAGTGTTTTAATAGATAGGGTTGTGATTACTGGTCCCTCTTGGAAAAAAAATAGCATTAAAAATAGTGTTTGTTCACGTCAAAAGCGTAGAAAAAATGGGCACATGAAAAGAGAGCGTTTCATACAGTCTTTATCAGACTCTGATGATGTGCCAAGTCCACTGGGTGGTGATGTTGTTGATGGTTTAGAGGATCCAATAAGTGTAGATAATGGTGATGGAACAGTCACGGTGAGAAGATCATCTCATATAAGACAAAGAAAAACTCCTGTTAAGTACAAAGATACCTCATTTTTTCAGGGAGATTTTGTTTTGATTGATGGACAAGATGAACCTAAAAGAAAAATTGTTAAGAAAAGCATCAGTATGAACCATAATGCAAAGCAAAATGGTGTTGTAAAAAAATCTGATAAAAACTATAATAGTATCAACTCAAATGATTCGCCTAAACTGAAAATCAATGTGAAACAAAAAGACAAAAGTTATGAAGATGAAAATGTTGTAAAGAATTTGGAAAGTACCATGAAACTTTTAGCAAAGCAGGAAGAAAAAATGAGTAAAAGTGAACAGGAAAAAAATTCATGTTCAGTGAATAATATTAAAGTTCTTACAAGAGGGGAAGATGGTACATTTAAGGAATTAAAAACAGTAACTATTGTAAAGGCTCTTCCAAAAGATGACTTGGTGAGAAATAGTGGATCTAAATCTGGTTTGATTACTCAACTGCCAAAGTCAGATTCAAAACACACACCTATTCAGACAGCTACAGTTATGACCAGGAAGTCTTCTAAGCGAGAATGTAATATAGAAAAGAGTGAAAGTACCAATGTAAAGAAAAAAGTTTCTAGAAAGCATATCAATGGTGTTAGAGCAGATACTATAAATGGTGAAACAAATGAAAGAATTTCTTCAGGTAGCCTTTCAGTGAACCAAAATAATGAAAAAATAAACAGAACTAAGAAATCAAAAGCATTGTCTAGGAATAAAGATAAGTCAGATGAAGACATTGAAGTTATTGAAATTGATTCTGACGATAGTGAAGGTGCTGGAAATAACAATGGTGCTGATATAAAGGTAACTAAATTACGAAATGAAGAAAAAACAGTTCCAAAGACTAATAGTATCACTGTGGGATGTTCAAATGCAGTGACTGAAGATGTGAAAGAAGGCAGAGGATTTATGTTTTCTCTTGTTGAAGATGAAGTAGTTGACAAACACTTAATTGAAGGTATTCAAACTGATCTCAAAGAAAAATCTGAAGAAAGTGAGAATTGCATTGAACCAGAGACTTCAGTAAAAAGGTTAAGTAAAAAGTCATCTTCTGGGTCAAATAACAGAGGTAATAACTCAAGTTGTAGGACCAAATCAAGTGGTAAAGTTGTTAAAAGAAAATATTTGTCTGATGATGATCCTGATTTTGAAGTGGGGTCCAGTAAACGACAATGTAAGTCAAATAGAATTGATAAAAATACTGATAATTCTGCTTCTAAAAAAAGTAAAAAGAAATCGGACAAATGGGCAAATTTCAAAGGACCAAAAATCATATTTGAAGGAATGAAACAAACTCCTAAACATTGTGTTGTGATAAATGACCCATATGAAGAAACTGCCTCTAAAAAAACAAAAACTGTGACTCAGAATATGACCAGAATTGAGATCTCACAACTTCCATCGGACAAATCAGTTCTTATTCCAAACAATGAAACTACTGAAATTGAAGCATGGTCTTGTGCTCTTTGTGGTAAACACAGTAGCTTCAAATTTCTGGGTGATCTCTTTGGACCATATACTGTTGAGACAATGTCTGACGACATGCTAGAATTGAGTCCGAAAGTTCGACTTGGTACTAAAAAGAAAAAGGCTGAGGACAGTGGCAATAAGAATGGTAAGTCAAGGAGGCGTTCTAGTAGTGTGACTCAGGAAGTTGGTGACTGGAAGGAAGTGTGGGTCCATGAAAGCTGTTCAGTGTACTCGGATGGTGTGTTTCTGATTGGCTCCAAGATCTACGGTCTTC